ATATATATATTTACATTTATATTTTGAGCTTTATACTAAGACATAACGTCGAAAAATGGTATGTCGCTTTTGGTGCTTTTACTTTAATATACATTTTTCTTACATATTATTCATAAAAGTTTGAATATTAATAATAAAGGAATACTCAACAAATAAATATTTAATATTTATTTATAGCATAATTTTAACAAATTTAAAAATTTCGAAATACTCACAACGGCGAAAGTTGGGATTGACATATGAAACATTTTTCCGGCTGTGATTTTAATAGCAATATTTGATTGCAAAATTATTAAAATTAAATTGAGAGCAGTTTTATGCGGCAAATGGTACCAGTTTGTCATATAAGTTGCTTCACCGACTTTTTTACCATGTCGCGAGATACAATTTATAAGCCAAAAATATGTTAATTGTAGAGAGAACTATAAATTTGCGGAAAAACTATCGGAATAAAAACGACTACCTGCTCCGTTACAAGTTCGCTGATAAAACAAAATATGAAAATATTGAACATCATTGCTGTAAGGATCATGATATATGTTATTATAGTGTTTGTACTTTCTTCCTGCCATTCCTAGAAGATATGTAACTTGATAGAATTCGAAATAAAAATCAAAGCAACATAAAGATATTTTATTATATATTCAAATTTTCAAATTTTTAAGCGTACCGTAATGCTATAATATCCCAGCATGCACAAATTGAACGTACACCCGATTAACTCTACAAAACATATTTGACGCAGTATCGTCTCCATACGCGAGAAAAACCTGTAATTGCGACAAAAATATTTGCAACAATCATGATTAAACTCTGTATAGAAATACGTCATAAACACAATAATTATAATATAATAAATATAATTTCTGTTATATTTGTTGAATTATAATTATCACATTTGTTACATTTGTAAAACATTAAGAGTTTGCAAGAAAGCATGAATATACTTTTTTTAATGTTTTTCTTACAGTTCCGTGTTTTTTACATAATTAAAGAATTGCATGCTACAGAAGAGACATTAAAATAAAGATTATTGAAATGTTTAAATTGGTAAAATGCGACTACATCAGTTCATCGATCATTATTATAGAAATTATCTATATAGAATTTATCTGTATAGAACACAGAATTTATCTTACCTCAATGCTCGTAGATGCCGCTCTATAATATTCGCCAATCTTAACTGAAGCTTGTCTCGTTTTTCGTCAACAAGCTCTTCGAGATGCGACATCACCACTCTGAGCTGACCACAGCCGTGCATCGCGAAAACCGCGGCAAGACCACACGCACCGATTTTGGTGTTGCTCACCACGATAGATGAAAGACATTGCAGTGTAAGCACAACTTCGTACACTGGATTGAATCTGGTATCCACGATCTTATTGTACGACGGGTACGGTAAGCGACCTATTGTCACGGTCTTATTACCGATCACCGCGTTTATTGGTGACAGTCCTCTTGCTAAGTTGTAACTTAACGAACTACCTTGTACGATCAGCGCACAAGCACCCGCTATGATCCGTCCTATGCGGGCGTTCTTCAACATCATTTCACGATCACGTTCTCTCTTTGCCATTTGCCAGTCCGTCTCCATATGTTCGATGGATCTACGTATTCGTTTATTGTGATATAAGAGTGAACAGTAATTGATTCCGCCCATGAGGCAATTACTCGTTGGTCCTACTGCCTTTAACTTGAGTCGGAAATCCTTCTCTTCAAACAATATATACAGTATAGAGGATATTATGGAGAAAGCTATCAAAGAATGACATATGAATCTCAAGTTTTTCTTTAGCATGTTTTTGCCCATTGAATTCGTCGGCCCTTCGAGCCAAGCGCCTAACGATTTTAGAATCCAACGATTTAATTGAAGACTATAGTCGTTGTCTCGTCTATAGAGATCGAGCGTAAACTCGCGAGAAGCGCGCTTCATGGTTCATTACAAGAGACGCGTTTGGAATACTGATCGCTACTACCCGTATGCAGTAATGCCAATTGTCCGAGCAACATACTCCCCCCCGGATAGGATACGCACACAAGTAAGCGACCGTGTACGTGTACGTGCAGGGCATTGACTAATTTCAGGCGACGAAGTGCAGACATACAATCGCTGTCTCTTTCTTTACCGAATATATGGCTATAGTCATAGTGTAAGGATACAAGGTGAAGTATTACCCATCATAAAGCCGGCCCAGTAGAACCAATCAGATATTTGCTACAATTTCCTCACTTAACGTGACGTGTAATGGCGACAGCCATATTGGGTTTTCCCAATTTGTGGCAACATTTTGATTGGTATCTACTGCGCATCCACCGGAATAAATTACCTTGTATTCTTATACCATAGCTATATTGAGTCTGAGGAGCTATAGGCTGATGTCGCAGCCGCGAAAATAATGTTAGGCTTACTTATTATATCTTGCTGCTCGCGTATACCGCTCGTGCCTCTTTCTCTTTTCGTATGTAATATTAAAAGAAATTTTTCACTGAAGTGGAAATATATTCTATATATATATATATATATATATATATATATATATATATATATATATATATATATATATATACAGGATATATATCAAAATAATGATATAAAAATAAAACGGCAGCAATAAATGAATTCTTGTTGCGGAGAAACATTTAAATTGTGACAATACGACCCGTGAGTTACATCTGAAATTTTCAGGCTTGGAATCAAGATAAAAAAGAAAGTATTTCAACATATTATAATAACTTCATCTTTTATATTAAATATTTTTATAATTTGCTACATTGCTGAAGTTCTCAGTCAACAGGTAATTTAAAATTTTTAACGATAACCTTAAATAATTTTATTAAAAAAAGCACAAACGAGATGAAAATCGCCTACATAAAGTTGTTACACACACATACACAGGGTGTTTTTTTTAACTTGACACTGCTAAATATCTCGAAAAATAAGCATTGTACGACAAAAATGTCCCAAATAAACCCTCAATAGTTTCGAGGGCGCAATTCAATCCCATAAAAATTATCCACCTCCCGCCCCCCCTGGGGATGGGGCGGGGGGTAACTTTGAAATCTTAAATGGGAACCTCTACTTTTTATTACAGATTTGAATTCTACATCCAAAAACACGTAACTTTTGTTTGAACTTTTTTTTCTATTTCTGATAGATGGCGCTGCATTCGGCGAAAATTGGGTAACCTTCGTTTTCTTCAAAGGGAATCCCCTATAATGACGCTACGTCGAAGAAAAGTAACTTTTGTCGGAAACATGTTTTTTTCGAATTATCGTAAATATCTACGATGATTTTTTATCCGTTTAACTAAAAAATGAAAATAAAAGTTACAATCTCCAATGGTCTTGACCTTTACAAATGTTATACAAATGATGATGTTAAAAATTCAAGAGGTTTTAGTCGTCATTTCGACGTGGTCATTTCCAAATGGTCCACTCACGATCTTTCAAAATTTAGTGTAAAATTCTTAACATATCTAAGTAATATGATTATGTTATTTGAATATTTCGTGTTGAATAAATATTTAACATTTCGTAGTATTAAAATAACATAACTTATAAGTAACGCAAAGTGGAACACAAACTTTCAAACTGTGTAGGACGAGTCTCGATAAATAGCACTATTATAGTCGAGTTATTTCAATTTCAGGTTACCCAATTTTCGCCGAATGCAGCGCCATCTATCAGAA